GGGGGAGTGGGGATGGGGGGGTCAGAAATTGCAAGTGTTTGATATTTTCATTGTTACTAGCAATTATGATATTGCAAGCTGTGAGGAAAACTTTTCATTCTTGGCAACTGAAAGCATCATTTATTAAAGTTCTATCAGTGATTCTCAACAAAGAAGGGGAAGTTTTCTGATCAGTAGCGGTGTGGGATGATATTAAGCTTATTTAAAGGTTGCATAAATTGAAGGGCCAGCCAAGTGGCTCAGTTGGCTAAGAGCTCGCTCTCTTGAGCGAGCTCTAAGCAACAGGGTTGCCGGTTTGATTCCCAGCCCGAGCTGAGCTGCCAACAGGTGGCAGGATGGCTCAGCTAAAAAAATAAAAATTAAAAATAAAGAAAGAAAAAATAAAGGTGTCATAAATTAAAAAGACCTAGAAACATTGCTCTACTGATAGTAATATTTCACTGTCCAGAAAAAACAGAAACTAGCTTTTAAGCAGTGAGTTCCTGAGTTCTGAACAGATTTTCATGCTTGTGTACTTTAATCCTAGAAAAGATGCTCATTAACAATCTTTACAATGTTGCATGCAATTCTAATAACATGGGTTATTTGGTTTTAAACCCATAAATTATGGGCTGCTGTGGTTTTTGTTTTGCTTGGTTATGTACTGTAAAAGAATGTCTGCTAATTATAAGGGAAGAGTTGACCAATAAAAGCTGTACAAACAAGAATGCAAAACACAGCCATTTGGAGCATCTAGTATGTGGGAAAATGTTTACATATCTCAGGCCCTGATATGGTATCTTCTGGTGTTGAAAGAGTAAACCGTGTACAGATGATCCTATTTAAGAAAGCAGAAATATGGACTGTAAATTGTACACTTAAATTAGCTAGAACTTTTTCAGAAGGCTTTTTGCATGACAAGTTACTTGTATCATTCCTCTGGAAAGCTTGTCTGTCTGAATGGCACATTCTTTAAGGATTATGGAGGACTGTGGTTTCTATCCTTGAAAAAGCCGTAAAGGAAGTACTGCTAAAACTTCTAAGCACTTGTATGTAACCTAGGCTGAGACCTCATAACCTCAGTGGGAGTAGCTGTGAAGTTTTGTAGGTAGCTGGTTGCTCTTCATAACCACTTGATAGTATTTAGAAATATTTCAACAATAGATTGTGAATTACAGGACAGGCAATTGAAATTTGTGAATTAGGCTTCAATAAGATATATAGAAGATGTAGGGGGTTTGTGAAGGAACAGGTATGAGCATTGGAGGAAGTCTAATCAAGGATTTCAGACTGTATAACTAGAAGGATATGTTGTAACAAAAAAATGTACAAATTATTATTGATATTCTTTTCTAGAAACGACTGCAGAAAGAACTGTTGGCTTTGCAAAATGACCCACCTCCCGGGATGACTTTAAATGAAAAGAGTGTTCAAAATTCAATTACACAGTAAGTATTTAAGTTTTAAAGTAGTTATTTGTCCCTTACTATCAATGTAAAGTATGAACATATACTCATGTTTTAAAATACAGAATTATTTTTGTATTCATCACATTTTCTTCCACCAAGAGGTAAATACAGTGAACAGACCTTATTCTCTGCATGAAAAGGTGAGGGGTGGAAGGAAGACACGGAAGTATTCTAATTCCTTGGGAGTGGGCAGAAGTCCCTTCCCGGATATGATACCAAGAAGAGTAAAGAGACACACGGGCCCCCTCTCTTAAAAATGAGCATTTTTAATTAGTTTGAATTGTTTTCATGAGTATCATCCTAAGCTCTTACAACCCAGGGTGGACTCCCCTTACTGCTCTTTGATTTACTAATTCTATTAGATAAGGGTAAATGTCCTGAAATAGGGGGGAAATTTAAAATAATTTATCCTCTCCTTAAAAAAATTTCCCAAAACATAGAAGAGATAGGAGCCAACAAGATAAAAGTTTACTGTAGACCAACTTGTAGCACAAATAGGACAATTTAAATATTTAGTGATATTCTAGGTCCAGAGAACAGAAGTGACCAAGTTCACACAACAGAGGGGACACGCTCATCCTCTCAGAAGAGACAGTTTTGGTTACCTATGACTTTGACATTTGAGTCAGTACTGAGGACAGGAGTCAAGCTTTGAGAATGGACATACTGATGTTCAAAAATGGAGTGCACATCTGTAGCTCTGTAACAGCATCTTGAAACATTGCTGGGTTCTTGATTAAGCATTTTTAGGTTCACTGCAAAGTTGAGCAGAAGGTGTAGAGATTTCCCACATACCCTCTGCTCTCACAGCCTCCCCCACTATCAGCGCCCCACAGCAGAATGGTGCATTTGTTGTAACTGATGAGGCTACCCTGATACCTCATAATCACCCAAAGTCTACAGCTTACACTAGAGTTCAGTCTTGGGGTTGCGCATTCTTGGGTTTGTACAGATTCGTAATGCCGTGTCGTCATTGCGGTGTCACACAGAGTGTTTCACTGCACTAAGACCCTCCGTGCTCTGCTTCTTCATCCTTCTCTCCCTCCCCCAAACCCTGACATTTTTACTGTTGCCATAGTTTTCCCTTTTATAAAATGGCATGTCGTTGGAATTGTCCAGTATGTAGCCCTTTCAGATGGGTTTCTTTCACTTAGTGATGTGCATTTAAGGTCCTTCCATGTCTTTTCACAGCTCTCAATTAATTGACATTTTATTTACATCAAAATTTGAAAGTGGAGCACACATTTAGAGTGTATGTCATTTGGTCTATATAATTAAACAAGTGACTTCTTTTGTTCTGTATAGTTACACAGATGGATTACACTCTGTTTTTATCTTTTTCCTCTCTCCCTTTGCTAACCTACCTCAAAATATCCTGTAACAGCTAGCCCTGTGGTTCTCAAGGAAATTGGTATTAATCTACTGCTTCCTCTTTCTTTTCTTTTTTTTTATTGCTTCCTCTTTTCAACATTTACTTTTTGGGGGGGGTGGGGAGAGGGGAGGAACCACACAACACAATAATTTATAAAAAGTTGAAGGAATTCTTTACATTTTTATAAATAATCACTAGTTATACCACAAACTATAATTCTTAATACAGCATTATCTTTTTTAAAAAATTAAATTTATTGGGATAACTTTGGTTAATAACCTTGTATAAGTTTCAGGTGTACAACTATAATACAGCATCTGTATATTCCATGGTGGGCTCACCACCCAAAGTCTAGTCTCCTTTCTTCTGTAACCAAATATTTGACCCCCTCTGTATCCTCCCCCAGCCCCCTTCCCCTCGTAACCACCATACTGCTGTCTGTGTCTATGAATTTGTTTGTTCTTTTGTTGCTTTTTGTTTTATATCCCACATGAGTGAAATCATATGGTTCTTGTCCTTTTCCATTTGACTTAATTCACTTAGCATGATACTCACAATCCACCCATGTTGTCTCAAATGGCAATATTTCATCTTTTTTATGGCTGAGTAGTGTTCCTTTGTATATATGTACCACATCTGCTTTATCCAGTCATCAGTCAAAGGGCATTTAGGTGGTTTCCATGTCTTGGCCAGTGTGACTAATGCTGCATTAATTATAGGGGCACATAGACCTTTATGAATAAGTGCTTTCAAATTTTGGGGGTAGATACCCAGAAATGGAATTGCTGAGTCATATGATAGCTCTCTTCTTAGTTTTGTGAGGAACCTCCATACTGTTTTCTATACAAGCTGTACCAGTTTACATTCCCACCAGCAGTGTATGAGGGTCCCCTTTTCTCCACAGCCTCTCCAACACTTGTTATTACTCGTCTTATTGATAATAGCCATTCTAACAGGTGTGAGGTGGTATCTCATTGTGGTTTTGACTTGCAGTTTCCTTAAGCTGGTGAGGTTGAGTATCTTTTCATGTATCTGTTGCCCATCTCTATGTCTTCTTGAGAAAGGTGTTCAGGTCCTCTACCCATTGTTTCATTGGATTGTTTGTTTTTTTTGTTGTTGAGTTACATGAGTTCTTCAGATCTAATTTTGGATATTAGCCCTTATCAGAGGTTATTGAATCAAATATCTTCTCCCATTTGGTTGGTTGCCTTTTTGTTTTGTTGATGATTTCTTTTGAAAACAGCATTATCTTTGTTGCAGAATAAACCTGTCATTGAGAGATGTTTGTCAGGCAATAATTTTTCTTTTAAAGTAATTTATTATAAATTAATCACAAAACTTTTATTGTCTTTGGACCATCATCCAGGATATGAAAATAGTCTTATAAATATCAGATCTTAAAATAGTTGTGTAAGTGGGGATTACATGGGATGTGGATATGGATAAGGAAAATGATGAAAGCATGTAAGCTTTCTGAAAGACAGTTTGGTAGCATGTATTAAGACCTTTAAAAATATGAGTATCATATCCTTTGACCTAATAAATAAACCCCTATGCTGTCCTAAGGAAGAACAGAGATATACTTTAGCACTAACTACAGTTGACCCTTTAACAATGCAGGGGTTAGGCACAGACTCCCCATGTAGTCAAAAATCTGAGTATACTTTTTGACTCCTCAAAAACTTAACTAATAGCCTGCTGTTGACCAGAAGCCTTACTGATAACATAAATAGATTAACACACATTTTGTATGTTATATGTATTTTATACTGTATTCTTAAAATAAAGTAAACTGGGAAAAAATGTTATTAAAATCATAAGGAAGAAAACATACATTTGCAGTACTGTACATATTTATTGAAAAAAAAATACATCTAAGTGGACCTGCACAATTCAAACCCATGTTGTTCAAGGGTCAGTTGTGCATTCATTTCAACATTACTATTTCTAGGGGCAATTTGGAAACAAGGCAAATAATAGGGAAATGGTTTCTCAAGGTAATACAGTGAAATGGCACCCTTGAGTTATATGTATCGTGTAGTCAGCAGATAAGGCAAAAATGTTGTGTAGTCATAATTACCTTTGAAAATCCCGTAGAGAGACCGTATTGCTATGAATCCTATCTTTTTTTTTTTTTTAAAGATTTTTTTATTTTATTGGGGAATCCTATCTTAACATATCCAGCTAAACTAGTTTGTCCTTTGGAGGGGAATAGATAGATGGCTGTTTCTTTTATTAGGAGCCATGAATGTATGGACTAAAACCTGTTTAAACATGAGAATCCTAGAGCAGTCGCTGCTGACAAGAAGTTAAGAGCTGAGGCGTCTCTCATCTCATCCTTACTGTGGGGCATGCGCTCATAACTGGGATCATAACTTCATGACTGAAATGTACGTCATGTAGGTGTGCGCATAGTGCAACTCTACTAGACCTCAGCACCACTTGATAGAGAAGCTGGAAAATGACCAGAATGAAACGCACCCCAAAAACTTCAACAGCGATTCTCTTTGGGTGAATTTTGTCTTATTTATACTTTTTCAAATTGTTCTATAGTGAACATACATATATTACTTTTTTTTTTTTTTTTAAGATTTTTTTTTTTATTGGGGAATTGGGGGGTGGGAACAGTGCTGGGGGATTGGGGAAGGGGCACAGACAAGTTGCTGTCGTTTTGTTCTTCAAGCTAGTTGTGGAGGACGTTGCTTCACTTGCCCAAGTTGGCACCATCACTGCGCTCTTCCCAGGCGAGGCAGATCAGTCGCTGGCTTCTGGACGGCCGCTCACTGCGGCGGCTGGCCGCTCACGCTGGCTGCTGGCTACACACGGTAGCCCATGGCAACCCACTGCCACAGGGACTGCAGCCTACGCCGTCGCCA